GTGTAATGACCATATGAACAAAACAAAGCTAAAACACAATGGATTGGCATTTAATTATTGAGTGTAACTTGGTTTAAGGACCTGTAATCAAGGGAATGCTGGTTTTGAGAAGTTTGCATAACTTATGAACATGAAAAATGGCCAATTCAAAAGTGAGTTTTTGCTATATTGTGAAATTCGATTCTCCCTAACCATGAGGTTGTTTGATGAGTTCTTGGACATTTTGGAAATCTTGGAATGTGTACTACAATCCATATTTGAAGTGCAATTTGAAATTACAAGTGGAAGTGTATGGAAAATGGCCTTGAAGTGGGGTAGAAAAACTTGTCAAAATAGGTCAAAAACTCACTAAGTTAAGAATGGTTTAGTGCCCTTATTCACAAATTTATAACTTGAGATACAAGCTTCAAATGAGAAAACTTTGTGAATCAAAGTTGTAGATTATGCAACAAGCTACAACTTTCATGTTTTGACTTTTGTTTGAATCCAAATGAATCATGGTGAAAAAGTGGCGCAAAGTTGGAAAAAATTAGGGTTTTCCATAACTTAGAAAAATTCTAAGTTATGAAAAATTCCATTTTAAACCCTAATTTGCATTTCTTGGTTTCTTGGTGAACAAGTTTCATGATTTGGCATGTTTTGATGAAAAATGAATCTTGACTCTTGATTTTGACCAAAAAGTCAAAGTTTGACTTTTCAGTATACAGTCAAAATTGATCAATTGACTGGGAAATTCAACTGTCAATCTTGTGTATTTGGGATCTTTTGAACTTGTTGAGCATGTCAAGACAATTCCATGGGGTCCTTGAGTCCATATGTGAGCTTGGTTTGCCATTGGCTAGGTCAAACAGTCAAAAATTACCCTTGTGCAGTCAAAACCCTAAAAAATGACCATTTTGCCCTTTTGATGATCTGATCAAATTTCTTGTGGAATTGTGATCCAAACTTGATCAAATGGTCCATATGAGTTCATAATGTTGATGTGGGTCAATTTTCATGAGATTTGACTGTCAATTGGCCACAGTTGACTTTTCCCCAATACAGCTGATTTCTAGGTCATCTGTCCAATTGACTGGGCAAAACTTGGAATCAAGACTTGAAACTTGGTATGGGTAAACTTGGGAGTCCAATATGAAGCATGAAAGTCATCTTAGGCATTTTAGGTCAAAACATCTTTGTTCAAACACAAACCCTAATTTGAGTCCACAATGCAAGGAGAAGTCTTGAGCAGAGGAAACCCTAACTGGATCTTGATCTTCAAGGTTTTTTGTGATGAGAAAATGTTGAGGAAATGGGAGGGCAAATTTTGGGGTACAACATACAGCTTGTAGCATTTGTTTGGACAGCTTGTAGCATTTCTTTCTTTCTTTCTTTTTGTGAACCAAGAAGGGTAACCTTCTTGTGATTTGCAAATAGAGGAAATAAGTTGGGATGAATTAAACAACACTCTGATTCCACATTGCAAACCTTAATGATGAATGCCTCTTTTTTTGGAAAAATTTCTGTTCATGCCCAAATAATTTGCACTAACCATGTTTTTCTTTCTTTTGTTTTCATGTGATCACAATTGGATATGACAAAGTAAAGAAGGCAAGAAATTTGTGGCAAGCATGAAAGTCTTGGAGATAAGCAAAGGAATTTGATACGACTTCAATCTTCAGACAAACTTAGGCATTGATTAATTCTCTTAGGCCAAACATTTATTTGGATTTTCTTTGTAATTTAGAAAAAGCATTCTTGTATTGTATCCAATAATTGTACCAATTCATCTTTAAATACAATAAGTTGTAAAACATAAAGTATTTAAAAGAATAAATTGTTTTGTAACAATGTATGAAATTGGAGAAAATCTTATGAAATATTCTAGTGTCACTTGAAATCCTTTATCAACAACAACTTGTAATTTCTCTTCGCATCCTAATTGATTTTTGAAATTCTCCATCAAGATATTTGAAACAAAATGCTCCAGTCTGGTAACTTAAATTCCAAGTAATCCCAATAATTATGTAACTGCATTTCAAACAAACACGCACTCTATATTCAATTTCCTAACCAAGCAAATGTTTTAAAGGACGCAAATCATCTGGTCAACCTGGATCCCACAATCATGATTGTCTTAAATGACAATCTTAACCTCCATCTCTTGTCCCAAACAAATCATGCTCCGAGAACAAACATTATCTTTTCAGTAAACTTCATTTTAAGAAAATTCAAAATCAATCAAATGCCTTGCGTTGATTTGATAATTTTAAAGTTTTCCAAACTCAAATTTCTTCCGATTCTTTGAAGATAAAACCGTGAGCGACATCACATCTGACCATGAATAGACAGAATCGTCTCAAAATCTTGTAGCTTGAAGAAATCATAAGTACAACCTTGAGGAAGCATGAGGACCTGTGAAAGCCAATTGGATCTTTGAGAACTCATTTTCTTTTGAGAATCGCAAGAAACCCTAATTGCTGGTTTACTGCCACAAAAGAGAATCTATCTGGTCGATTTCTGAGCCAACTTGAATATCCGAGAAACCCTAGGGTTGTGTCTTCTATGAAAAATGGGAGGAAAAATTTTGGGGTACAACACTTAGCAAGTTGCAGTTTATTCCAGTTGCATAAAGCACATCTTTGATCATAGCTTTCCCTTCATTACGCATTTGAAAGACTATTTTCCAGTACCTTTTTGCTTGCAACGAACTATTATCAGCAAGTTTTACCTTGCTCTCCTTCTACTCGTCAAAATATTATCAACCACTCCTTTCAACCAATCATGAGGTTCAAGCAACCTGGGTCGAGAAACCAAATTTTAGATTTGACCTGGTTATCTGCAAATACAACCATAACCATCATACCACCTTCAGAATCATCTGAATCTTAGCGTGCAAGGTTCACTCCTTCGTCCTTGCTTGCCAATCCCTTTTTTTTTCTGCACCAACAATTTTTGGCTATATGACGCCACTTTTCACAGTTATAGCATTGCAGACCTTTTTTACCTTATTTGCCCTTTCGATAATTTCCTCCTCCTCCTTTTGAGGATTCAGAAGCTCCATCTTTGATTTGATGTTTGTGAGGATTCGACCAAGACTTCTTGCCCTAAGTCTTGTCGAATTTGCCTTTGAATTTGTTGGAATCACCATCCTTTTTTCATGACCGAGCTTGCAAATCCTGTATCGAGGTTTACACTCATTTCCTTTTGACAATCATCATCTCATGCGCCTCCTACGAAATAACCAAATCTTCCACTTTAGTGGTTTCAAGATTGTTGGATTCTTGAATAGCTACGATAATGTGATCAAAGTGAGAGGTCAACATTCTCATTACCTTCTCAACTATCATCTTATCAGTTATGGTTTCACCACAATCCTTCATGAGATGGACGGGTTTTTGAACCTCCGACACATATTCTGCAATTTTTTCATCTTCTCTCATTGACAATAACTCATATTATCGATGCAAAGTTTGTAACTTGACAACCTTGACTTTCTCACCTCCTTCGTAATACTTCACCAGAATATCTCATGTCTCCTTCGTTGTTTCAGCATGAGAGATTCTGTCGAAATTAGCAGCATCGACTACCGTATTAATGCAATAAGCAGTCTTGCAATCTTTCTTCTTGACTTCATTGTGGATTTTTTTTCTGTTCGTCGGTTGCATTTGCAGTCAACGCAGGAACGTTGTTGGTAACCACTTCTAGGGTTTCATGGAAGCCAAACAAGGATTGCATCTATTTTTTCCATCGGATTCAATTCTTGCCGTCAAGCATTGAAAGAGAATTCATAATGCCCATATCACTAGCCATCTTCGCAGCAGTTGATTCACTTGCCCTAAAAACACGACTTATGGCGTGAAATTCTTGAAAACTCGATCAAGAACAATAACCGGAAACTCTGGATACTAATTTGTTAGTGCGTGAAACACTTTAGAAAGGACAGAAATAGAGAATAATATAAGATTTATATTATTGAATTGTAAAAATAATGATACTATGACTATTTATATGCAATCCTAATTAAACTTGGATCTACACAACTTAAATTATATTTAAATATTAAATCTAATTAAATTTAATATTTTAACAAATTTAATTTAATATTTCAACAATATCAATCAAGCTATGCTTGGAAAAGCATTCTAAGTGCCAAAGATCTAATGGACAAAGGAGTGGAATGGAGATCGGTAATGGGCTAAAAGTGATGATATGGAAGGAATTTCGGCTTCCTAATCAAACATACTTTAAGGTTAGAAGTTCTATGCGAGGTATAGAGGATACAAGCCATTTATCAATGTTGATAGACACAAACACGAAACAATGAGACGAAAAACAAATATTAAGCATCCTTATTTCTAGACTATCAGAAGATAAAATCATTTGGTATTGAGAGAAGGATGGGGAATGTTCTGTTAGATCTACTCAATAACTCCTAAAAATCAGCATGATACCCAGAATCTCCAAACTCTCATAATACCCCGCTTTAAAAAGAGATTGGAAACCCCACTTTCAAAATAAAGTCGGAAATCTTCTTTGGAGACCATGGGCGGATCCATGTTTAGGCTAGGTGTGGCTATAGCCACACCAGATTTTTTTTTTTCTAATATTAATATATATTTAATTAATTAATTAATTTTAATATTTAATATTATATAACTCTTCAACTCACTTTTATCTCTTAATTTTCTCTCTCTTTTATTTCTTTCTCTCTCACACAGTAAACCATTTCTCTTCTTCTCAAACCCCACCAACTTCCATATTTGTCTCTTTCTCTCATTAATCCAATAACCCCACCATTTTGCATTGTTTATGGGTGATTGAAAATCAAAGGTAAACTAACTATTTCAAAATTTTCTTATTCTTTTGTTCTATTTGAGTTGAACCCTAAAACCCCAATTTGTTTTAAAAAAGTAAATTTTCAATTTCTCATAAATATTTTCTTTACAATAAATTGTTCTTATTATTTTCTTTATAGAATGAATAGCTAATTTTAATGGTTTCATTGTTCTATTTATAGGATGAAGAAATTTTTTCCTGTGCTTTCTAGAGACAAAGCTACTTCTTCGGTAAATCTAGAAGCATCGGAAACTCAACATCCAAGTGAGAGTATTAAAGTTGTCGATTATGAATTGTTGGAAACCGATCCAGGAATTAGGCCTCCAATTTCAAGCTATCATCCTGACATCCAAAATGAGGTAAGGAAAGCTTATTTAAAAATAGGTCGTCATAAACCTCCTTACAATTTTGTTTACCCTTGGTCTGTTCAAGGTAATCAAAGACGTAGATTTTGCAAAAAATTGGTTTGATTTGTATGATTGGATTGATTATAGTGAATCTAAGGACCTGGCATTTTGCTTGCCATGTTTTTTGTTTAAGAATGTCTCTAAATACGGGGGAGATCACTTTGTGACAGAGGGGTTTGGTGATTGGAAGAATTCTCACAGATTGGCTAATCATGGAACTTCTTCCAATAGTCATATTGATTGTGTGCATATGAGTTACGCTCTCATGAACCCAAACCAAAGTATTAAGGCTGCATTTGTTAATCAAACTAAACAAATGAATTCTGAATATCGTGTTCGTGTAAACACATCTCTTATAGCTACTAAGTTTCTTTTGAGGTGTGGCATGCCATTTAGAGGGAGTGACGAGTCCTTTAACTCTTTATTTAAGGGGCCATTTATTGAGTTGGTGGACACTCTAAAGGAAATTAACCCAGAGATAGCTAAGGTAATAAATTGTGCTACAGGAAATAACTTTATGACTGCCCCTAAGATTCAAAAGGATCTTGCTGCTGCTTGTGCATGTGAAATAACTAAACAAATTGTATGTGATATTGCGGATGATGTGTTTTGTGTTTTGATTGATGAATCCGGTGACGTTGCTGGTAAAGAACAAATGGCTGTTGTTATTCGCTAAGTTAATAGTGATGGTTTGGTAAAAGAAAGGTTTCTTGGGATTGTTAGTGTTAAAGAAACAAGTGCTAAGTCACTTAAGGAGGCACTTGAGAAGTTATTGTCTATTAATGGCTTGAGTTTATCTAGCATAAGGGGGCAAGGATATGATGGAGCTAGCAATATGCGAGGTAAGTTTGGTGGTTTAAGAACTTTAATTCAAAATGAAAATCCATCAGCTTATTATGTGCATTGTTTTGCCCATCAACTTCAATTAGCACTTGTTGCATGTGCTAAGACTCACAAAGATGTTAGTGGTTTTTTCGGTAAGGTCAATATGCTTGTTAATTTCATACGGTCTTCTAACAAGAGACAAGAATTACTTCGGGACAAACAAGTATCTCAATTTGCTAAATTGATTGAAGAGGGTGAGATAGAGACTGGTAGTGGATTAAATCAAGAATCGTCTATTGCTAGAGCGGGTGACACTCGTTGGGGTTCCCACTTTAGGACTCTCACTAGTTTGATGACTTTATATGGTGCCATTATTAAGGTACTTGAAGAAGTCGGGAAAGATACGTCATTTGAAAAATATGGTGAAACTATGCTTTTGCTAGATGTGCTTCAGTCCTTTGATTTTATTTTCATGTTATACATGATGGTTGAGATTTTAGGATTTACAAATGATTTAAGTGTAGTGCTACAAAAGCGTGATCAAGATCTTTTGAATGCTTTATCACTTGTCAAAGCCACCAAACAGGAATTACAAGAAATGAGAAATGATGGATGGGAAGAACTTATATCTAAGGTTATGGAAATTTGCAATAAGCATGATATTGATGTGCCTGATTTGGATGCAGCGTACGTGCAAGGGAAGAAACCTAGACGACATGCTATCACTTCTAGTGTTTCTAATTTGCATCATTATAAGCATGATTGTTTATGTAGTGTTTTAGATTTGCAGTTGCATGAGCTCAATGCTAGGTTTGATGAAGAGAATACTGAACTTTTACAATGTGTTTCATGTTTGAGTCCCTCATCATCATTTGAATCTTTTGATGTGAAAAAATTATTGAGGATGGTTGAACTTTATCCAAATGATTTTGTAGATGTGCCGGAAGTGGCGGTACGACATCAACTTCAGAATTATGTTAAAAATGTTCGATGTGATCCAAAATTTGCAAATTTAAACGGACTTTCAGATCTTTGTGCAAAACTTGTGGAAACAAAAAAATGCAACACTTTTGATATAGTTTATAAGCTTCTGAAGTTGGCTTTAGTCTTGCCAGTAGCAACTGCGAGCGTGGAACATGTTTTTTCAGCTATGAAGTTGTGAAGAGTCAGCTATGTAACAAAATGGGTGATCAATGGTTAAATGATCGTCTTGTAACTTTTATAGAAAGAGATGTTCTTGGAACAATTAACAATGATGTTATTTTAGCTCATTTTCAAGAAATTGATACTAGACGGTTTTCATTGTAAATACACTTCATCAAACAATATTATTTTTTATTTTCAATATATTTTAGTCGATAATTTCTTTTATGTTTAGCCACACCAATATATAAAGTCTGGATCCGCCCCTACTATAGCCATGGAAAAGTGTTCTTAAAGTCTATGGATACTCCTGAATCGACAATTTCAAGTTGAATTGGTCCATGGAAGTCATGTAGCTAAGGAAACTGTTCTGGACTGGGCCCGACAGGCCCAAAAGCATTACTAAGGCCCAGTCCAAAGGGACTCACTAAGGACCACACTGGGCAAAGGGGGTCACATCCATGCCCGACACCCTGATGTCCACCTCGACATCTCGATGTCCAACCCCACGCGGTGAAGTCGTGCTCGACACCCTGCCGTCCAGCTCTATGTCCTGGCGTCCAGCTCGACACCCGCTGTCCAGCTCGAGGTCCTGGCGTCGAGCTCGGCACCGTGCTGCGCAACTCGACATGGTCTCGAGCTACCCGGCTAGGGCAGACTCAGTCCACCGTTCCCCCAACAATACTCCGGAAAGACCGCGTCTCCGTCCGCCCGCACTTCACGCAGCACATCCAGGAAGGGGACCACGTGCAGGTCCCCACTACCCACGTAGAACCTGGCAGTTCCTCCATTGGGCCAAATCCGCCCGGCCCAATGAAGGAACCTTGGCCCAGCGCTGGGGGCTATAAATACCCTCTGTTTCCAGAGGGTCAGGTATTCATCATTCTAACCTCAACTCTATTATCTGCTCGTACTCCCACTGACTTTAGCATCGGAGTGCCTTGCAGGTACCCCCCCCCTCCTCGTTCAAAAAGCTTTCTGCTCGGAGTCAGCCGTGACGGTCCAAACCTTCTGATCAGGTCAGATCAGTGGCGCCGTCTGTGGGAACAGCTTCCCCGTCTAACGAACAATTCCAAAGACCAAAGCTCAATTCAATTACCTGTCATGGCTAATCCAGCTCGTGAAGAACAGCACGTCCGTGTCACCGACACTAACAACGGTCCCTCGGACAAGAATGGACACCTGGACAATCCCAGTGATGCCGGCCACAATGCCATCCCTGTGACAACCGCCCCTGGACCTTCCACCCGCAGGGACGGGAACACTACGTCTTCCTCGACGACTCCTCCAGCACTCGAAGACGACCCGGAGGCTCTCGCCTATCGCAGAGCTGCCCGGTTCTATGAAGTCCAAGTCCCTGCCGGGGCAGATGCCACGACTCAGGCACTGTTCGCGGCCATCAACCAGACAAATTATCTCCTATTCGCCCAAGGAGAAAGACTAAGGGCACTTGAAAATGATCGACGACCCCCGAGGAGGCATCAGAGGCCACCATCTCCACCTCCTCGGGTCGAAGAAGTTCGACACCCTACTCCCCCACGGAGACACTACAGGGAGAACTCTAGGAGCCCCTCTCCCCGGCCAAAGCAGAGGCGGCCACAATATGAGAGACAGCCCGTCATCCCTACCGAAGAACCCAGTCGCGACCCATCAAGGCACGACAGGAGGCACAACAGAGACGGGCGTGTGACCTTCAACCACCGAGCATCACGCTCGAGGGAATCTCAGCACGATCAGCGTGCCAGACACAACTACAGGACCCCTTCTCTTTCTCCGGAGAGGAGCGACGAGGACGACCCCCGCGGTCCCCTGTCGCAGGCCATCATGGACGCTCCTATTCCCCCGGGCATGGAAAAGCCCCCACATCTGAAGGAGTACGGCGGCGTGGCAGACACGGTCGACCACATCGACGGATTCGAAGCCATGCTTCATTACCATAATGTCGGGGGGCCTATCAAGTGCCGTCTCTTCCCCACAACTCTCAGGAAGGCGGCCATGGACTGGTATAAAGGACTCGCCCCGGGCTCCATCACCTCGTGGCGGAACCTGAAGAACCAGTTCATCAGTTCCTTCACAGCTTCTCGGCGCCACCCGAAGACCGAGGCGGCCCTCGAGGCCATCATCCAAAGACAGGATGAGACCTTGAGGGAATTCATCAATCGCTTCAACCGGGAAGCAATACAGGTCCCCTGCGCGGACCATATGAAAAGGTACTTGCTGGAGAGGGGCCTCCTCCCCGGCACAGAATTCAGAAAAGCTGTGGGTATTGAGCCACCTGCAACTTTTGATGCTCTCCTCGACAAAGCCCGAGCATACATGGACTACGAGGAGAGAGAAGCTGCCAACAGGGCACGAGACTCCAGGGCTCGCAATCATGGCAGCAGCTCGAGACAAGACCCTCCTCCCCGACGGACCGGAGAGAAGAGGAAGGAAGATCGACCCCGGGAGGTCCAGGAACAAAGGGGCCCCTCGGGCCGGTTCACTGAGTACACTCCGCTCACGGCCAAGAGGAAGTTGGACGAACTGGTCGACGCAGCTCCTCCACAAACTGTGACTTTCGAAATAGTGAAGGGCAGATCAGAGCCCATCACCTTCTACTTAGAAGAGCTCCCCGGCGGAGCCCCGAACGCAGTCATCCCCTTGCTGATAAGGGCGAAGATGGCCAATTTTGACGTGCATCGCATCCTGGTCGACGAAGGGAGTTCTGTCGACGTGATGTACACCCAACTGTTCCGGACCTTGCAACTGGATGACTCACATCTGTCTCTGTATATAGGTTCGGACCTTCAAGGCTTCAACGGCTCGACTTCCAAACCTTGGGGTTATGTCGAGCTCCTCGTGACGTTCGGGGAAGGAACAACAACAAGACAGGTGAAGGTCCGCTTCCTCGTCATTGACTGCCCGTCCCTATACAATTGCATCTTGGGGAGGCCGACATTGGCGGAGCTGACAGCGGTTCCCTCAACTGTCCATCTAAAAATGAAGTTCTATACCAAAAGGGCAAGGGTAGCCACCATCCAGGGCGACCTCGCTGCTGCCCGCAGGTGCTTCAACGCCGCTTCAAGGGGACGGGATACTGTCGACGTGGGTACCAG